AAGCAAGGACAATGTGGATGTAAATTTATTTGCAATAGAGTTGTCACCTATCGGAAAAATGGAATTTTAACAACGTGTTTAAAAAAATCTTTCGGAATAAATTCGTTAAAAATTTATAAAATAATAAAATTCATTAAGCTGCAATTTGCAATGGAGTTGCCACCTATTGTCTTTATTTTAGACATATTTTAGTATAGAAAATTTGAAAATGTATATTAAACTCTTTGGTAAATCTGACCTGTCGTGATTCACGTCGGCTTAAAATTTATTATATATGCCGCTTTCAATTTCTGAACGCTTTTCGTATTTACTGCGAAAATAAGCCACAAAAAGTCGAGACAGTTTATTTCGTTTGAGCACATCAACGCACACACACATTCAAACATAAATTAGGAGACAAATGTATGCATATAAAGTACTGTTGATTACAATTTTCGTGTGCAATAACAACAAATAATAAGTAGCTACAATGTCTTTACTTAAACATTATATTTTATTTAGTGCACATCTTTTGTTTTATCTGCTCGCTCAGTAGTTTGTGTCAGACAAACTGAAGCAACAAATAAAAAAGAGACAATCTGAAGATATATAGCTATCAAATTACCCCTTCTACTTTTCTGCTTTCGTGTGTCTCCTTTTGTTGGCTTTAACTAAACTTAACCATTATCTTTCTGATTACTTGCGCTTTCGCATAGCATTGTTGTTTTTGTGCGCGGCACACGCGAGGCATAATGCTTGTGTGGCGAAAGACAAAGCAATCTCCCATTGCGTACACTTTAAGCTGGTTTAATGGCGTAGTCGTCAACTGGCAAGATATATGTAATTGTGACGTTTATTTTAATATTTGACATATCACAATTGGTGGGCAAGTACAGTCGCTGTGAAAGTGTATATTTATCGCATATTTTTCACATTTTATTTGTAGAGAAATTCTTAAATAGTTTAAAGTGTTTTAATGCAAGCTTTGCTTTATGTTACTATGCAACATATTGCGGGCCACTTTCAAACGGTAAGCCACCTATTTAGTAGTATTAGAAATCTCACACATTTCTCTCTCTCTCTCAATAATCCCTTATTATTTACTGTGTTTTTCTCAGTTTAGTTTGGTTTTGTGGACCTGTACGCTGAGATTTGTTTACCCTTTATTGCTTAGCTATGCGGGTCGTTTGTACCTTTTTTAATAAAAAAATTAATTGCAAATTGGTTTAGAAAAAGATAAAGCAATAAAATCCTTCACTTTAAAATTATTCATAAAATCTGATTTAAATATTCGCTGGATACTAGAATTCTCTGTACTTAAAAAATACCCGTAAAAGTAGCTAACAAAGAAATTTATTTTGTGAAATTTAGTTTTCACAAAATATGACATCTATGACAATATGACTTATTTTATGGCTATATCTATTGAGGCTATAAAATTTCTTTACTCCCATTTTTAGCATTCTCCTTAAAGTAATGTTAAGTGATTTAAAAAAAAAATATCTCAAGTCACAATACATACGAAGTGTAGTGTATTGCACATCACTCAATAACTGTCAGAGTTGACAAGTCACATTCTCATGTGCTCGCTGTTTCGCTGGTTGCTTCTTAGCATGTGACAGGAATTGCTAAGGTTCTACAGTGTTGCAATATTGCACACAAGCTAAACTACACACATATTGACATATTAAAGCTTGCCCACAAGGAAAATCTCGGCCTTAACTGTGATTCAAGCACTTGCTATAAATTCACGTTCTCCGGTGGCTACTGCAAAATGAAAAATCATCTTCTCAAATGAGAACCCATTTCTAGCTTAATGGCGTCGTCCAAAAACCAAATTATCGCTATTGTGTTGAGTCAAATCTCCGTGTGGTTCAGCAAACGTAATTGCATCTCCAAAAATTGACCGTTTGTTGGGGATTGTGGTATGACGTCGTCATCGGGTCTTATTTCTTTCCAAATGAGGCAGCAAATGCCTATAAAATTAGCTGCATAACAATAAAAACAGAACCTATTTTGAGCAAATTTTGGTGTTTTATCTCATTTTAACATCACTCGTTCTTGTCGGTAGACATTTTACATATAACAACTCTCTTAAAGCTATGTGTATACGCCTAGGGAATGTGGTAAGTTGTTACTGATAATAGAAGCTAAAATAACCAAGGTCTATGAGATTTCATAAAAGTTGTTAAGACTAGTTAAGTTGCTTAGATCACGTGCTTATTTTTGGTTATGTTAAGCAAGATCATTCACTGATATTTTAAATATTTAGCATCTTTCGGTAATTGTATGAGAAATCTAAATAATTTCTGTGAAAAAAAGGTTGAATTTCTGAAATAAAATTTTCAAAACAGACAATAGAAATGCGTCTCTAAAGGCACAGCCGTTCCGAGCATTCAAAATTTCTTATCTCTAAAGTTTCGTGATTGTTTTGACTGATATATACAATAGTTAATTCAATGTTTTTACCATGCTTGTAACATCTTTATAAAGAAAACGTCTATGGATGCTTAGAAATATACTAAGGAAAACCGGTGATTTTTTTATATTATTTATAAAAGTACCTGTTTCATGTGTTCGTAATTTTTCGAGGTTAAGACTAAAGTTATTAGATTGTCCAGAATTCCTCACCTCAAATATTTTTCGTTCGCTTTAACCTTAGAAATATCTATTTTAGCTAATAATTAAGTCAATATAATCAAATAATTTCGTGACACATATTTTACTTCCTTACTGACCAGCGTTTAAGTTTTTGTTCGAGATAAGGTTATCAATATTTCCTACAAGTACTTTATGTACTGTATGTGTATATAAATGCATTTTTATAATGTTTTTGGTTGTGCGATATGCCAGCGAGTATGTGTACCATGTCAGTTGGCATTTCGAAGCATGCTTAAGATGCGATGCTGGTTCCGTTGCATTGGACATATTTATTGTATATCCTGTCGTTTGTCTGCTCGAAAAGTTTTCGTGGTGCACTGAAATGTTTATACATTTCACGTGTGCCAATCATATTGTGACTTTTAAGATAACTTTACACCTGTCATAAGATTTGTCAACGAGTTTTTATATGTTTAGAACCTTAGTGATTCGATGGCGAATTTTAAGGACGCGACAGGTAAGGAATGTGTAGAAACTCTGTCACAAAACTTTTGAACGGTTGTGGCGCCGTAAGATTATCAAAAAATTACAGCAGTTATTTACGTATCTATAACTATGAATTTAAGCATATATTAAACCATACTTGGTAAAAGTTATTAAAGAGTTAGTAGCGAATCGGACCATTTTTTAACCCTATTTAATTTTTGATTGAAATTCAAATTTCTTTAAACCATCACTTTTTTTTTTATTACTCGTTATTGTTTACTCCAGATCTTTACAGTTTGAATGACAGCTATATGCTATAGTAGTCGGTTGCGACAAATGACCAGTTTTTTGGGGAGAAAAGGATGTTAACAAAATTTTAGATTGGATATAAAGTATACAGATTGTCGTGTTATATTCTTCGTGGAAAACTTAATATTACTTTTCAGTGTATAAATATCTCAAATGTAAAAATTGGTTCGCATAAGTTATTGAATGTACCGAGTGGTGAAGATGGCGCACCCTGTATGTGCAGTAATCTGTTTAAAGTTATGAGAATTGTGGTTTCTTGGCACAAAAATCACGGTTGACCCGTGTAGAGAATATGATAAGCGAGTAATAAAGCATTCGGGGTTTTTATCTTTTTATTTTATATTACTTTTTTTTTGAATTTCTTCTACTCCGAATTCGTAATGTGATTTGGAGGCTGGCTTTCATCTTTGTTAAATGCAATAATCTACCAGTTAACGCTTCAATGATCAGCTCAACGTGCTTTTGTTTTGCATTTACGTATGTATGTATGGTATGTAGCTATTTTGCTGCATTTAGTGTAAGTTGCCAAGTTTTCGTATTTAAAAAAGTGATATAAATGATAGCTTTTGATGTGGATATCTCGCTGTAAGGGGCCAAAATTTTATGAATGGTGCGTTTTTGCCGACCCAATTGCGCATATAAAAACAGAAAACCATATACAAGTACATATACAAGCATACACATTAAGATTGGTTAAAAAAAGAATGCCCCGCTTCGTACTCTGGAAAATTATGGACAGCTCTTAGAAAGGCTCTCCAAGTATGTGCTCTTAATTGTAACGGGAAGCGTAGTTGGAAGTGAGATATGCATTTTATCTGATAATAAGAGAAAAATAGAAAACCGTTAAACCGTTAAACCGAGGACCTGCCCATTACAATAAAAAGCTCATACTGCGAGAGCCTTTCTTAGAGCTGTCTATCAACCAATTTTTCAGAGTACGAAGCGGAAAAAAAAACCTTCATATTTTTGCGACCCACCCTAATACACATATACATATAACTATAATACACACTTTTATATAAGTCCAGCAGGCAATTCACATTAAGCTTGATAATTAAAAATTCGTACACTTTTGCATAATTGGGTTGATTCACGCATACACACGCACATGTGTACCAATGTATCGCCGAAATCCTTTTTACGTTCCGTTAAGCAGAAAATGAAAGGAGTTAATTAAACGTATTGGTGCTACATTTGTACGCCAGTTAATACATTTTGCGTATTTCGAATGCGTGCGCGGTAGAGCGCGCTTGAGATTTCAGCTGATTTCATTTGTCAATGCCTTAATACCATTTCCGATGATGTATGATATATTTCGGTATGAAAATCTGAAATCCTTTTATCCACTCACACACATACGAATGCTGGCGGCTGATTGCATCCAAATTTTGAACTGAAGCTGAGCTCTGGTTTTACTGAGTGAGTTAATTAAATTTGAGTCGCTTCGTATTTCGCAATACGCACGCATTTGTTTCGACGTAATTGTAAATTTGCGAATACTTTATGCCCATATTTTCAAACATATTTACACATGTTCATCAGCATATCGAATATTTATGGTATTTGTAAATTTATTAATTTGCCTACATTTTTCTTTTTTCTTTCTCATTGCTCCACATCAACAGGTCTGTGCGCTCTCCAAGCGCGGCATGATGCTACAACCGGATATACTAGCCTACAATGAGGCGATAATGCCACCACCAGGTGCCGTAGGCGCTGCCGCCGCGTCGGGTGTGGCTAACAATGCGTACGGTGTTCACCACTATCAGCATCAGTCACATCAGCCGAGTGGTGGCGGAGCCGAATCGGCCATGGCGCTGGCATCCACATCGGCGATTAGCGCGAAATCAATACAGCAAAATGTAATTATCACCAATGCCGGTCTCAGCTATGAGGATGTGCTGAACGATGATTTTCAATTCGATATGGACGGGCATGATGTGATGGTGTTCCTGCATATACAAAAGACCGGAGGCACATCATTTGGACGGCATTTGGTGCGTGACTTGGATCTAAAGGTATGTCGAATGAGCAGATACAACGCACAATTACAAGCACATGTTGATATTAATATATTCAAAGGGATGTATGTATATATGTATATGTATACATAAGGGTCGCACATAAAGAGTTTTATTTTTTAGACTCAGTTACTTGATTGGTTGTACCATATAGTTTGTTCTCGATTGGAACTGAGATCATACTCCATATTACCCTAACCTACTTTTATCGGGCTGCATTTTTATTTGTAACAATTATGGGTACTAAAAAGAGGAAATTTAGAATAATTATGCCCTGAAGAGGGTACATTAAGTTCGCCACGAAGTTTGTAAAACCCAGAAGGAAGCGGCGGAGACCTTATGAAATAAACTTATGCCCGTCTGTACATACGCGAACTGGTTTATCAGTTTTTAAGATATCGAGCTGAAATCTTGCACACGTTTTCCTCCCCAAAATGATGGCCGTGACCACCGAATTGTTCAATTCAAATATTTGTGATTGAAAAGAAATTTTTTTTTTTAATCCAATGTTGCAATTAAATAAAATTTTAATTTTTTAATCCCGTTGTTGTTGTTTTAATCCCGCTATTGGAAATAAAAATTTAATTTACATTTTTTAATCCAAGAAGTTTGGAATTAAAAATTTAAAAAGTGAAAATATTATTTTTTGTTTTGAACGAACGCAGAAAAATTTGAATTGTAAAACAAATATTTTTTTAAAACTTAGTTGTATGCTTGAGATTAAAAATTTTTATATATTATTTTACATTCTGTCAATTCATAACTTTTTTATATTTTTTAATGCCGTATTTGGGATTACAAAAAAAATAAAATTTTTATTCAATTATTTTTTTAATGCATTATTTGCAATTCTGGTAGCTGCCATACAAACTGGACGTTCAACACCATGTCCTTGTATAGAAATTTTTTTACTTGGGAAGGGTATTATAGCTTCGGGGTAATCGATGAAACACAGTTTTGACCAAGAATGTATATGTTAATCGTGTACCTAGTATTACCAGTTTTTTTTTTTAATTTTCACTTGAAATTTATCCTTTTGTTCCACGACTCATCTAATATAATTCTTATCAAAATGTATGTGCTATATTTGCTGTGTTGTTTGTTTTGGTGACTTGGAGCGACTGGGGCTTTGAAAATGTTGTAACACTTTTTTTTCTATCTTCTCTTAAAGACCACCCTACCATGCTTTTATGTGTGTATATCCACAACAATCATTGTAATGAGTTTATTTGTATTCATTTATTGATTTCTATAACCATATTCGCAAGAAATAAATTCAATGATTTGTGACAATATGCCAATATTACCGTTCGTCATGTACGCTGCATGGAAGGAATACATATGCATGTATGTGTGTGAGTATACGACATGCTGCTGTACCCACTCACATTATGCCTGCATTATGGATATTTCACAATTGCTGCAATCAAAATTGGGTTCTTACTGCAATTTCAACTTATAAGCCATGCCACATGTTCGCAATTGTTTAACATTGTTTAACAAACGAAACGTGGTTACGCATACATAACGGAGATATGCTTACACAAATGTTTTATTTTTTGTTTGTATAAAGGGTGGCGTAAACACCTGCGTATCCCTAGAAGCTCGGCAGTAAGCTAAATTTTGTAAGGAGCGTGCGGTATGAGCTATTGGAGTGTAATAATACATAATAACAAAAAAACAAAAACAACCAGCTAATATGGATCTAGTATACTATATGTACTATAACTGTAATCTTCTCATAATTTTTAGAACATTTTCTTTAGAAATCATGTCCACTCTATAATTTTTGTTTTTATACGTAATAAATGTCCATATCCAATGTCTAATTAAACAATTAAAAGCTTTCAATTGATCATATCATTATCATTATATTTAGACTGAGCTAAATTGAGTATTTGAATGCCCAAATGGATGATTCAATTAACATCTTAATTTCGTTAGCTAAATGACCGGTTGGAACAAAATATAAGAGAGTTTTAAAATGCTAGATCCCAGAAAAATTGACGATTATATACAGTTTGATATTCATGGGAAATTTCGTAGAAATTAGAAAGTGTTTTAACATTTTTTATACAGCTTATTTTTTATAAATTTCTTAAAATATACCTTTAGTCAAATAGAAGGGTTAATTACAATTAATAGCTGTATTACGTTAACCTTAACTGCATTGAAGCTATAAAACCCTTCACAAACACAAAGGTTCCTTACAAGAACTTGATTCTGATCGTTCAATTTGTATGGCAGCTACATAATATAGTGATCAGATATCAACAATTTCTTCGGAGAATACATTGTTGACTTGGAAAATAACTATAATAAAATTTCAGATCGATATCTCAAAAACACTTTGCGTATATACAGACGGACATGACTAAGTCGACTCAGCTCGACATGCTGATCATTTATTTATATACTTTTTAGCGTCTGCGACGTTTTTTGTGGTTATCACAAACATCGTGGTAAAAATAATTGACCGTTGTCAGCGTGTAATGCCATATATCCATGAAATATTATACTTGTTATTATAATCAGGCTGTACCTATACCGTAGATTTCTCTATCTAATTCGTGCGGGTTTTTTCGAAAATTAAGACTATTGTGAAAAAATAATATACATTTAATGTTCCAAAGAGGTAGAACTCCCCAGCCACAGTTTTCCAAATAGTTTTTAACTGGCCTTGCAACATGTGGCCGAGCGTTTAAAAATTATTGATTCTCGTCTGGTCATATATTCTGGTCATTTTTCCGCGATGGTCTTTTTCAAACGAATCAATTGTTTTCAGGATCGTCCCCATTGATCGTCTGACCCCATTTCAATAGCTCATAATAGAGCACACCCTTGTGGTCCCACCAAATACATAACATAACCTTGGCACCATGGATATTCGGCTTTGCCGTGAATGTCGATGGTTGGCCGGGCTTCACATACGATCTCATGCGCTTTGGGTTATCATAATTAATCCATTTTTCATCGCCAGTGACAATCCGATGCAAAAATTACTTCTTTTGTTGGCGTTGAAGCAACATTTCCGACATGCAGAATCGACGTTCGACGTCTCTTGGCTTTAATTCATAAGGCACCCAATTTCCAAGCTTCTGGATGAATCCTAATGATTTTAATCGTCTGGAAACGTTGCTTGATCAACTCCTAATACTTTTGCAAATTCTTCTTGCGTCTGGCACGCATCTGCGTCGAGAAGTGTCTCCAATTCTTCTTCTTGAATTTTTAGCTGTCCGGGTCGTTCTCCGTCGTCTAAGTCGAAATTGCCACTTTCAAACCGTGCAAGCCACTTTTGGCACGTTCGTTCGGGTAAAGCATGGTCACCATAAACGTCCAGTAAAATACGATGGCTTTCGGTAGCACTTTTCTTCATGTTAAAGTAATGAAGAAGAACTCCCCGCAAAAACACTTTATCTGGTACAAATTTCGACATTTTCAAATGAATGAAACAAATTGTTGTTCAATGACAGTACCTTTGAAGTGAATATAGCCACAGATGAACACGACGCGAAATAATACTAGTAGAGCTCTCTCTTAGAAAATCGCACGAATTAATGCATACACCCAATAGCTAGCAGACTATATTTTATGAAAGCACACTAGTTTTCGAGGACTCTTTATTAATTTTGTGTTCTTTAATATAAAAGCTTCGAAGATATTTGGTAATCCGACTTTGAAACAGAGTTTGAGTTATATCAGTTTGGTTTAATCAACTGATAGTTTTGTATGAGTTTTATATGCTAGGTACTGGTTTACTAGGTTTACAGTCACGAAGATGAAAAGTTAAGAAATCGAAGAAAATCACTATATTTGGATAAAGCTGGTGAAATTACATGTCACCTCACAATATCTCAATGAAGTAAATTGTTCGCTACTATAAAAAGACTTTCACGTTCTTGAAGATTTTAATATGTGCATATATATATGCTTGCTGGTTTTTGTCCGGGTTCCTACCCCGACTTTGCGAACTTTGAAAAAACCAAACGAAGTAAATAAAGTTTCATGAACTTCAACAATTTTCCGCTCTCAACCGCATAAACGGCAGACTCTCTGTCTCTCCGCTTATCTGTTAGAAAATAACCTTGACTTTGGCTTTCCACAAAGACCACTTAAATACCTATTTATGGGCGTCATACACATATGGCATGTGCAAAGTGTGTGTTTTATTTGAAGTTGGAATGACTTCTTCTGACTTGACAACCAGGCATTGGGGTCATTTGTATGCAATTCATCGCCTCGTTGTTATGAACTGTTGACAGGATGCAGTGAATTATAAATAATTTCCATAATTCACGAACATTTCACGTACGAAGTTGACAACAATATCCGTAATAAATTCCAAAGTTTAAGTTCAGCAAATTGCACTCTCGAAAGAGTCAAACCGAGATAAAACCATTGAAATGTTTACACATGCGTACATAAATACATAAATACTTAAATTACTGGACATTTACGGACGTTGCATAAACAATTTGCATATTTTAAATATACATATACATATATGTACATAAGTTATTCAAATAAGTTACATACCCATGCTAATTTCGTTTCCTATTGCACTTGTGCTTAATAGCGACCCTGCGAGTGCCAGCGTCAACGCAAGCGTTGCTACTGCTTCCGTCCACACCGCAACGAGAACTGGCTGTTCTCACGCTACTCGACCGGTTGGAAGTGTGGCCTACACGCCGACTGGACGGAGCTGACCAGCTGTGTGGATATCGAGTTGGACAAGAACGAAGGCGAGACGGCCAAGCGTCGGTACTTTTACATTACGCTACTACGTGAGCCCATCTCACGGTATATGTCCGAATATCGGCATGTGCGGCGCGGTGCGACGTGGAAGGGTTCACGTCATTGGTGTCTGGGACGTCAAGCCACGGCGGCGGAATTGCCACCCTGTTACAAGGGCAAGGATTGGTTGGATGTGGATTTGGATGAGTTCGCCGCTTGCGATTCGAATTTGGCGGCCAATCGACAGACCCGCATGCTGGCCGATCTCGCGTTGGTAGGCTGTTACAATAAGACTGCTATGCCGGCGCATGAGCGCGATCGCGTCATGTTGGCGAGCGCCAAACGCAATTTGGCCGCAATGGCATACTTCGGACTCACCGAGTATCAGAAGGTACCACTCATATATTATTTATAGAAGTGTATTTGTGTTTTTTTAATCAAATTTTTATTTTTTTTTGTTTGGCAGATTTCGCAGTACATATTCGAAGAGACATTCAATCTTCGTTTTGCGATACCATTCGAACAACACAATACAACAATATCTGCGTCGGCGGTAAACAATTTGCGACCGGATCAGAAGAAACGCATCGAAGAGTTGAACAGCTTGGATATCGAGCTATATGCCTTTGCAAAGAATTTACTATTCCAAAGGTACGGTTCGTCGAAGTAAGCTAATACATATTTCAAATCAAATATTTCGATAGCTTCGGTTGGAAATCTTNGCAGCTGGTATTATTTGTTAGTTTTAAACTTGCTGATTTGTTTGTAATCGGTTCTATTATTTGTGTGTTGCTATTGTAAATATATTTATAGAATTTTTTGTCTGCGCATTTTAGATCCGAATTGAGCGTCACAATTAGTTGCAAATTAATATTATTTTTAGAAATTAACGATCGGCATGTTTATTGATAGTCATATGGTTTTACTGTTAACTTTAAGAAAATACGCTAAGCCAAAATTAGTTTAGACATTAATTATAAGCTTAGTAAAGTAAAATTTAGACGAAGAGTATTTTTGTTTATTTTAATTATATACAAAAATTTATTTCTAATAGAATTCCTACTTTAATTTTAAATAAAACAAAGTATTTACCATATAAGTAGGGGAGATACTAATTTAAAGCTAGAATATCATACGCAAACGTTATTGTAAACGGTTTCCGTACGCATTCACCAACACAGAAGAAGCATTTACCATAAAAATCTAACTTATATCTTTGGTTTTTTTTTTTGTTTTAATAAACAATGCAGCTTGTTTTGGTTTTGTAAATACCGTGCCATTAAATTGTATGCATTACTATGCATTTTTCATAAATTTATTTGATTTGTGGCCAAATTTAAAATTTATTACCGATATTGTTAGTGCTTTTTGTTGTTTTATTAGTCAAAATATTTATATAAGACAATAACAATTTATAATTGAAATTGTAAGCGTTTGTCTACTTACAAGTTAATTAATTAATTTCTTATGAAAACACAAATGAACAACTTTTAAAGTAATAAAATAATAACAGCATAAACGAGCCAAAACAAGAACAATACTTAGCAACAACTAAGAGAAATCCATAAATTTGAATCAAGAAATAATTACATGCTGTGTTAAGGCTATAAATACCCACGAAATTGCCTATTTGAAATTACTTGTATGCAAATGTCATGTCACATAAGCAAAAAACTTACCAACAAAAAATATCATTTGTATGAAATAATGGCAAAAAGCATCTAGTATTCCCATATATCCAAGTATTTGTTACTCATCTTACTTTAACTAATGCATTTATATCATTTATTGTACATGTATATTGTGCCATTATGTAGAAATTATTCATTTTTATACATCATCGATATCATCACACATAAAAAAAAAACTATTGATTATTGATAAATGATAAAGTATTTACCAAAAAGAGTGCAATTCAAATAATTTTACGCATTAAAACGCACTAAAAAACAAATAATTATAAATTAATATCGAAAATAAAACGAATTAGTTAAACAAAAAATATGTGTACCATAATGTTATGTTATTTCTTTATGCCACGCGTGTAAACTTGGTACTTACTGTTGCTGCAGTCACCTCAACTAGTTGTAAAGTACTTAAACGCCTAGTAGGCAGTCGTTCGTTCATTTCCAAGCAAGCAACTGCTATTTTTCAGTTATTTACCTAAAACAGTTTTGAAAGTGTATAAGAAGCCAGCTACATAGCAGTTTAGTCCAATTTATTTACTATTAAAAAATATTAATTTGGTTCTTGTTCTTGAAAAAAATAAAGGTTCGCCGTAACAAAACGTATGCACACTTTCTGAACCAACGCTTCAGAACGATTTGGTACTAGGATATTATTTCACTTACTGTTGTTGTTGTGGGCCTTCTAAGGCACCCTGAACTTGAAGATCGTTTGATATTGTGGTGCTTTTATATTTCCTAAAATAGTTTCTAATGGTTGCCGTAACTAAATCCTATACTGTGTCTTTGTTTACAGGCGCATTTTTTATAGCATAACAAGTAAGAAAGTGCAAAGTTCGGCTGCAACCGAAGATTTTAGGCTCTTGCAACTTGAAACAATCAAAGCCCGGGAAATTCTGCGCCGGCAAACTATATATTCAAAAATGTTGCGAAAAAATTAAACATCCATTATTCGATGAACATGTAATTGGATTACAAATAAATTTGGTGTCTTCTTGACTTATGTTAAACTTAGTCTCAGTGTTTTGCTATATTTTAGCTTGCATCAGCAAAAATTATATTAAAAACCCCCTTAAAGTGAAATATATGTACAAGTAATACTAACTAATCGAAGAGGCTAAATTTAATATACTGAGTTTAGGTGAATTACGTCAACCAGTGTTACGAATTATTATTAGATTAAGGTAATGATTTTTGACCAAGGTATAGACCAATTCCATTCTAATTCAGCGCTAAGCCACATAATTAAAAAAAAAAACTTGTTCATAAAATTTCATTTAAATATCACACATTTTATCTATTTTTGTGAATACCGCATACCATTAACATGCCGCATACTAATAAACTGCTGCCTGGGTCTCATTAAGGTACCTCACATATCATCACCAATCATATGCAGTAAAGTAAGCCGGATGTTCGAAAATCCTGATATTAGTTATATGGGGGTTATGTTAAAATTTTGCCCATTTTAGGCACAGGGATACATTATTATAAGTAAAACACGCTCTCTCGTTTTCATTTAAATAACTCACATATTGGCCGATATTTGCGAATAAGGTCAGCCGGAAGTTCGAAAATCTTTATATTGAATATATGGGGGCTAAAGCAAGTATTGACCCGAATCAACCCATTTTTGACATACAAACATACTATTATCAGGAAAGGACCCTCTCTGAACTGCAATTATGTATCTCTCACATAGACCGATAGGTGCCTCTTGCTACTACGATCCCTTGTTCCAAATTATAATTTTATATCTTAATGAAGGTACCTCGTCAAATAATAAAGATTCCCGTATTTGGACTTGAGTTTGATCTGTCCGTTTGTATGGCAGTTATGACCTGCAGTGATCTGATTACAGCGATTGCGACAAATGAGTTGCTTCTTGTGGAGAAAAGGGCTTATGCAAAATATCAGATCGACATCTCAAAAACTGAGGTACTAATCCGCGTTTATACAGACGAACATTGCTAAATTGACTCAGCTCATCACGCTGATCATTAAAAACCATATATACTTGTATATATATATAAATTTTCTTCTGGGTGTTACAAACTTCGTGGCAAACTTAAATAAACTGAAATCAAAACGACTGTTTCGTTTCCGTAATATTATACCAAAGTAGTTTGTTTTGTTCATGCCGTAACGGTATTGTATCAAGTCTGCAAGCGAAGTCGGTCGGTCATTCTATTGTAGGATAAGGGATCGCCAACCTATCGACTATTGAGAGCGTAGTAATTGTATTCTCTTTTCTAAAAAAGAGATTTAAGGTCAAAAAGTACGCATCTCTCCTAAGATGCAAAAAATGTTATTTCAAGGGTTCAGCGTGGTCACCATCCAGCTGCAGTTATGTTTTGGTGGGGAGTCTCGTGAAAAGGCGTTACACTCTTCGCTTCTGCGAATTGGTTAAAACTGGGGCAAAATTGTACCAGCACGATGTTTTAGACGGCGTGGTAAATCAATTAAGCAATACTCTCTTCGATGGATAGCTTAAGATTTTCCAAAAAGATGCTGCTCCAGCTGCAAGCCAAGAACCGTCCAGCAGTGACTTAACAGCAATATACCTGGTTTCATAGCTGCAGCTGAATGGCCGACTGGAAGTCCAGATTTGAATACATTGGACTTGTGGCCAGAGTCAAAAAAAATGGCCTGTCGAATAACCTATTGATATTTGGAAAGTCTCAAAAATCTTTAGTTCTAGCCGTGTCGTCAATATCCATAGAAACTGTGCGTGCTGCTATTGAGCAATGACCGAATCGTTTCGGGCTGGTGTGAAAACAAAAGGGGACTATATATATGAATTATTAAATAAAATTAACTTTATTTAAAAAAATTTATTATAGTTTCATTTTGAGTTGTAACAGAACTTATGGCAGGACTAAGTAATAGAAAAATAATAGATTCAATGAAATTTGACAGTACGGATTTTATTATCGTCTTCTGTAAAATAGTTTTTTGTTTTCAAAACTTTTTAGAATTAGAAATTAATTTTTTTCTTTTAATATAGAATTGTGAAAATGTAAATTTATGTGCTTCTAACTTCACTTTTAGTTCTTTAGTATATTTTGGCAGAACTCTGCATTTGGTCTTCGTTCGTCTTCTATGTGTGAGCTATACGCTCCTACGAGTATAAAAAGTTTTACTTACTCGTAGATGTGATAGCAATGACAAACTTATTTAGTCCAGTTATTTAATGCAATTGTATGTGAATACCCATTTAAAGTAGCATAGTCACTCTCTATTGTACTATTATGCCAGTGGACGTGATTTATATTAGTTATTTGTTCGATTCGCTACTATTTAAGGCTTGACGAATGAAGACAGCTTTTAAAATATCGCTCACCACTTTTGTTGAATGTGGTAATAGGTACAACTCTTTTTCTATAAACTCATCAACAAACATTCTCAGCACCAAGCCGATTAAATTTCGACGACTTGTTTGTATTAGATGAGAATTAAATGCAGTAGTCCGAGCGATTCATTAGCATTTTGAGTGTATGCATTAACCAGTTTTTTAACTTTCTGCAAATTCAAATGCTACAATTGCAAGACGTTTATTTGAATGGCGAAATTGTTGTTTACTTTCCAAGCGGCAGTTATGGCGATGGCTTTGCATACATACACATGCTTACCGATTTGAGCTGATATATATGTATGTACCTATACATGTATATATACATACATATGTGATATAAATGAGTAAACTGCACAGCGCGTTAGATCGCATTGTTTTTGTTGTATTCTAATAAACATTTGCCATTCATTATTTAGTATAGACACAATATATACCTATATGCATACATACGTACATATGTATGTAAGTATATAAAGGCACTTACGTGAGCTTCTGTTTTGGTTTCGCTCGGTTGCAAAAATTTTTCTGCTGCGTTGTTACTTTTCTAACAGATCAAAGAGCCATATGTTGCATTATTTATTTATTTATATAATACATTTTTTTCTTGAATTAGTTAATTCCCAAACCCTCTTCCGCCTCGCTGAATGCCACCTGAGAGTGTTGCTTGACTACTTCGTTAGCCATCCTGTCACTGTCACCGATAACGTCCGTTATGTGGTGTAGTTGTTGTCATTTATATGTTCTGATATAGACTGTGGTGCCACCAAAAGTAATACAATGTACCGACTGGGAACAGGCACACAGCCACGAGCGCAAGCTTCTACTTTGCAGTTGTTAGCGAGCAAATAAATTTGTTTATTTTCGCATTTCAGTCGCAAATCTAAAGTCACATGCATTAAGTCAGTCGCCGGGAGATTGCTTGCAAAGAATATACACATATACACCGACATGTATTCAGCTCGCAAATAAGAATGTTTAAAATGCGTCAAGTCTAACAGACTAATAGAGAACAATCTACAACTTTGTCTGTAGCATGCCTTGGAGTGGGCACAATCGGCACGTTTTCATAGCGAGTGCACCCCCATGGCGAGCGCCAGCCCCCCTATACCTATTTATATATAAATAAGCTAAACAAAGCTGAGGTGTATAGGTATGTCTCTATATACATATGTATGTTTGCTTACCGTCACTGCCTTGCCGCGCCTTTAATCTACTTAACTACAGTCACTGCCTATTATGCAGCTTCATTAGAGTTTTCTTTGGCTTTCACCCTACACTCGGAGCGTTAAGCTAGTCCAACAGTTAGTCACATACAGTAGAGAGAGATAGAGAGATAGAGAGATAGAGAGAGAGAGGGAAGTCAGCTGTCAAGTGTTTTTGACAGCAGTTAGCGAATAGCACACCAAAGTCTATCAGCACTAATTTTCTTTTAATTTTTAATATTCATAAATTCTGCTCAAAAGCAGATTATAAAACCGCTTTAGATTAAATATTATCCGGAGCATATAAGCTTACTATATGTACCATATAACATAACAGCTTTACTGTTATTGATATGAATTCCTGCTCATGTCTTAAGTAGTGCCATCAAAAAGCAAAGAATCCAATAATGCTTAAGACCATTTTTACAAGGCTGTATGTATAATTTGTTATTGAAAAGGGTTTATGTTAAAAGCGGGTGGCTTAGATTTTTTACGGAGCAGCAATCGATATTGAAAAATCCATTTATTTATGTAGTATGTACTTAGGTATTTTGAACTCGGTATTAGCAGTAATAAAAATATCATATTAACAAATAAGGAAGGGCTAAGTTCGGATGTAACCGAACATTTTATACTCTCGCAAAGTCAAATGGTATACTCGTTTGAGATTTCTTTGTGGATTGACTGATATTTTCGGTAGAAGGTCAACTATAGGCACTGGGGTCCACATATTTAGTACTTAGGGGCTTGAACAGTTTTGGTTCGATTTAGACAATTTTTGGTCACAAGGTGGCATACTTTAAACATATTATTCACGCAAAGTTTTACGCCGATATAATCATTGTTGCTTGATTTGCATAGTGGAAAGTGAAAGAATCAGATGGAATTGAAAATGGTGTTACATGGGAAGTAAGCGTGGTTGTAGTCCGATTTCGACAATTTTCGCACTATGACATAGAAACATTAAAAGAACGTTAGCCACCGAATTTGGTTGAAATCGGTTGAAGAGATCTCAAGATATGGGTTTTCACCTAAAAGTGGGCTGTGCCACGCCCACTAACTAATTTTGAACGCGGTTCCTATAAAGCCAATTTATGCCATCTCAGAGATAAAATTTAATGTCTCTGGCGTGTTTAGTGCTTGATTTATCGCGCTTTTAGTAGTTACAGTACCGTTATATGGGGAGTGGGCGGAGTTGCCACCCGATTTCAACTATTTTCACACCGTCAATAGAAGTGCTAAAAACATTTGCTTCTAGTGAATTTTGTTATTATAGCATTAGCGGTTTAGGAGATATGCNTATTTGTTTTTGATTAATGGCGTTTTGTGGGCGTGGCAGTGGTCCATCAGCAATACCAACCGTCTCACGGTACCATGAAACATGTCTTCATAAAGATATCTCAATTTTTACTCAAGTTAGAGCTTGCACGGACGGACGGACGGACGGACGGACGGACGGACAGACGGACAGACGGACGGACGGACAGACGGACGGACGGACAGACAGTCACCCGGATTTCAACTCGTCTCTTCATCCTGATCATTTATATATATATAACCCTATATCTAACTCGATTAGTTTTAGGTGATACAAACAACCGTTAGGTGAACAAAACTATTATACTCTGTAGCAACAGGTTGCGAGAGTATAAAAATAAGTTTTTTTTTTGCGCTCGGATTTAGCTGACAGTAGTGTGTCTTCCATTCGTTGTTGCTGCCTTTGCTAATGTTATTTCTAATAATTGTCACATCAGTTTTTGCTATTCCTATTTATTCGTTTTTGCTGGAGACTGAGTGACATTCAGCCAGGTTATACCTACCTACTAGTATACAAAGTGAATCAAAATTTTTGTTTTTCTTCAGTGAAGTCGGTTTGCAATGATGAATGATTTCAGATAGACCATCTCGATAATGAAGGTCTTTTAATCCATAGCTCGGAGTTTTTGGAATTCGGTAATAGAAGAGAGTTTCAATTATTTAGGCATATTCATTATGAATTCCGACTTACCTCCGATGTTACCTCAAGACACTGCCTAGTATATACCCTTAAGTAAACAAAAGCTTTTAGTTTTCAAATGATCAAACGGAGCTCAACATTACAACGAAATAATTCGGTAACATGAAAACCCGAAAATCCTAAGCTAGTAAGTAAATTCCATCAGATTTACATTAACAGCAGATGACTGTTGGCACAGCACCTTTCACTAAACCACTTTGAAAAATAGTTTCTATTTTGTATCGAAGGTCTCAGTTTACGAAAAGAGTGAGCGATCATCCGGCAGTTTAGGTTTTTCGGTAAAAGATCATTTCACTTGATGAGAAATAATACGAAAATGTAAGGAGAAAAATCTGTTCAGTAACATTTACTAAAATTTACGACGAAATTTTGAATGCATGTTTTGAACGTTTAGTACTTTTTTCAAAAATGTCTTTTGTTGAGTTTAAAAACAAGAAATACCTAATCTTGCGGATGGTGGTTAGAGATTCAAATTTGTCATATTATTCAGCCTGATTTTTTAATATAGAATCTGGTTTCTTTGGTTTGACTCCAAAACAATGACCGCCAAAATCATCTATTTAAACTTCATCATATACGTACATACATATGTACATATATCACGCACACAGTTCTCAATTGGCTACGACTTCGTTGGCCGCCATCTGCAGCCGCACTTAACCTAACAATTTGCGCGATTGCTTTCGAATCGCCACAGAGTAACGCAATGCATTGAGTAGTAACAGGGTAGCAGCCTTAGCTGCAGCTCGAAATATAATTGCACACTTTTCCAAGCATTCGTTGCAATTGCGATCGCCCAACTAGCGTCGTTTCGGTTGCCCCGCTGCCACAAGCTAAAAACTGACAGCGCTGCAGAAAATGTGGCACAGCTGTAAAAAAAAGCGGAAGGCAACGTGCAACTATGTAGGAACTTATATGAGCACATGAGTGTTATATGGAGCGTACACTATATTTTTACAAATTTATATATTTTTATACATATATACATATTAATAAGTAGGTACAACTGTTGCTCATGTCTTGAAACTAATTTTACAAATAAACAAGCTGAGTTGAAGCGACCGGCGGCGCACATCATATCTCATGTTTGAATCTACGGACCCAGCCATGGCCGGTAGACACACCCAACCTATTCAATCGTGTTTTCAACCGGACGGCGTTGTATGATAGCTCACGCATTTTCACTTGGCATTTTCGCGCCTCCAATGTCCAACAACAAACCCATTTTTTAAGGCACAACATGAGGTTGCAGAATTCAACGCTTTGCCAACATATATTATGTATGTAGTATTGTAGAATGCCTATGTCACATTCATGTATATATGTATGTAAGTATGGACGTATATTTGTAAACTTGTTGCGTCAGCGTTTAAAGGTGATTTTGTGATTTTAAAAACAAATACATGAAATACACTACGTCAAAAAAAAAACGGGAAAAATAAAATACATAGGTATAGTATGCATACCTCGTGGACCTAGCTACCTCTATATATGTATGTATGTATACATATGTATGTAGGTACCCTGTAAGGGAAGCCGGTCACGGTGTAATAGCAATCAACTCAGTTCATTCTTCGTTATTCACAATTTCCATTAGCCATGTCGTGGCATGTCGGCATCAAGTAACAAGTTGTACTGAGTGGGTACAGGCCAACAGCAACGAGCGCAAGCAAATTTTACAACAAGTACCCGTTTCGTATGCTTACGTACATACACTTGTGTAATTGCAATTCTCCCGCCACCCCAAAGAGCACAAATTCAGACATTGCAATTCGGTTGCACTTGAGGGAAAACGAAGCATTTGTATGTACTTACATATATATGTATACGTAAGTGTCCATGTACGAGGTTGTACTGATAAGTAATTCATTTTATAAGTGAAGATAAGCAATACTGTAAATGTTGACAAAAGCAAAGGTGAAGCAGAACTACGTGCTTCAGGAGCATTATTCTTCTGGTAAAATATTATTAAGGAGGCCAAGGTAAGGCTAAGTAGTATTGGTTTTAGGTGTTTAAGTGCGAAGGAGATCATAAGAATTTTATGAAAATTCTCCGATTTCTCAAACTTAGTTACTGTAAGGTCAAGTATTAACGTTTTTGTACTAATTTAGAACTTAATGAATACATCCAGCTAAGAAGGAATAAAGCCAGATATCAAGAAATAGTTGAAAAGGTGGATTATTCAAAATTAAAATTAGTTTTCAAGTTGTAAAGAGTGACATAATAATTGCTTGCTTTTAAGCGAATATTGACTATCATGAATATGAGCAATCCTCAAATTGTCACTTTCTTATCGCACTGTATTAACAACGGTTGACCCAAGTAGAGTTACGTTTTGTACGTTTTGCAATAGTTTTTTTTTTTTTTGACAGATCATGCATGAGCCATGTCAAGCTATCATGTTATTTTTTGATCGCACTATTCGCAACACCATCACCCATCTGGAGACCCTGCATTCATTATTGGATAATATTCGACCGAATAGACCACGTCCAGCACGCAGTAAAGAAAATATATACATATGTATGCAAAAGTATCACGATCTGCTGAAAAGTAGGGGAAGAATGTATAAAATTTAACTCAACTTTTACTGGAAGATTATTTTTGCGACTGAAGTGTTGCGTTATTTCGCTGACATGATTGTCGGCGAAGTATTAAAACAAGTAAGTAGTTACGTTCTTTAAAAGTAACATATTTTATTTGAGTCAGGTAAGGTATATTTGGTCTATGTGAGATTCTTGTTGTTGCTTGTAACATTATCGGCTTTTTAACCTAATTTAATTTAACGTAAGTTATATGAGTATTTTAAGAAAATTAAAATTTGCAAATATTGAATAAACAAACATAATATCTTAAATATCTTTTTTTTCTACAAACGTTTGCACGTAGCTTTCTAGCGCGCACTTCAAGAGCTGTCTTCTTCGTTATTCTATGTGATTTGATTTTTGAAATACATATATTGTTTTTTGCTTTCAAAGCATTACCTAGCTTTTTTTAATGATTTCGCTGAATTACAGCGGTTCCGTCATTACAGTCGGTTTTGCTGCTTTTCGAGGTAGTTACTAAACAGTGAGATGTACTGAGTGGAAACCGGCTATCAGAACTTAAAAAGAGGTGTATCGGTTAGGAGTTTGAATTCATTTTTTTTTTTATCAATTTTTCGTTTTTACTTACGCAAACAGTACACTGACTTCACTGGAAATTACAAGTAATTCTCTATTTGCTTAGATTTACCACAAAAAGCAAAATGGAAGCCGCAGAAACCTGAAAAGGAAAAAATAAACAAAAAATGAGCGTACAAAAATTATAAATGTGGTAACAAAAAAAATAAATAAATAAAAAGGAAAAGTAAGAAAGGAAGGGTGAAAGTAACTGAGGTCATGTTGGAAATTAATTTTACGATAGTGTGGTTGTTAAAATCACACTTTTTTTTATTGAAAAGTTATAAAATAATAATCATAAATATTAAAAAAAAGATATTTAATTTAATTGATCTAGAGAACGATCTTCGCTATTCAAATTATAACAGAATGATGGAAAGTTCAAATATATTCAGCATCAAGCAAATATGCTTGGAAAAATTTCAGCGTTGATGTGATTTGATCAAATCGTATAATGAGTTTCGTGTTGGTAGTGGGGAGATCACTGTTCCAACTGTGCGTTATTAAATTTTGCATAAGCCTTAAATATGGCAAGTCTTTCACAAAATCTTTCTTTCGAACCCCGGCTAGATATTTGTACTATCTTCTTCGTCTATTTGTGATGGTCATTTTGCTGGAAGTAAGTATCTAAAAGCCGCAAGTCGCTTATGAAATGCTGATGGGTTTACAAGACATTTTCGTATAACGGAAATGGATTCGGTGGTTAGAGGTTGCCTGGCGAACCGAACAATCGCAAACTGCTATTATTAAAAAAAAAAAGTTTGATCAGCGGGAGTTCCCTTATAGCCCCTGCTTTGCAGTTGCGGTTTTGCCTGTACTCGAAACAACCCCTGCTCGTATACTTACATATGTATGTATGTTTGTGTAAATGCAATCTCCATTCATTTGTTGACTACACTGATTGTTTTGGTTTCTCTGCTTTGTTGCTATGGTGAACACCAATGGTGGTGAGTGATATCGCTTAGCCGTTGTTGTCTGTATCACAGAATAACGAGTGTACTGAATGTGAACAGGCGAGCAGCAAATGACGAAGGCTGATTTTTCATAAACCGCTGGCAAGTTTTTAAACTCGACAAGCAATTGCCCATCCGTCCGACGTCGCCTCATACGTTTTCAGCACAGGAAAATTGTCGCATAACAGTAAACACGTAACAGCAGTTAACAAACATACAAACGCCTGTGCATGCATACATACACAGACACACATGCATCGCCAGTCAAATTGCAACCGAAGCCTACCACCGTATGCCACTTATGCCAGCCAGTGGTGTCGTCGATTGTTTGTGTGTTGATATACGTAGACTTGTGTATGTGATTACACATACATAATTGCTACGGCATGCAGGCATGTTGCTTGCAACGCCGAGACGACCACAAACCACACAATTTCGTTCCAGCAACATATAATCATGTAGGCATAGGCGGTTTCTGCACGTGACGCTCGCATTGTGCAACGTGGTTGCAAGGCTACATTAGGGCTCTGGCGTCTCATGTGTCCACATATATATGTATATATGTTTGTTGTTTGTTGCATGTTTTTGCTCACAAGCACATTCGCTCTTATCCCGCGCCCATAATCTTTGCTCTGTTATCTGCAATCGTGCACATTTCCCATTGTCAACGCTGTGTCTCGTTCATCAAAAAATATATATGTATACTTAGGTATGTGCCGGGGTATATACTTTTGTATCGCATACGTTGCGCCGTTGCAGGCTGGTGGTTTTTATGTGCGCCACTGTTTCATTGATATTGCAAGGTTCTTTTATCGCTGTCGCCTCCGTTGATCCCATTACGAAAAATAAATAAAAAAAATAAAAATACCACAAAAGCTCATACATAATGATTTTTATACTTATTTGTTCGTATGCTTGTGTCATATAAACATATGTGTAGTTTACTTGGTTGGTCATTCGCTCTGTTGTTGCTTAATCTTATACAATGGTAATGGAAACTCAGAAAATACTGTAATATACAACGGAAAGTCTAAGTGCAATTGAAAACAAAAATTGTACCTACGTATATTCATGCTCATATGTAGAAGTCTATATGACCGGATATATTCATGAACTATTACAAGTATTGTATGTACATGTCCACATATGGTATGTACATATGTATGCAGGTTTTCAATAGATGTGTACGGGATTCAAAGTACCAAATTATTCAGTTAAAAGTTTTAAAATTATATAATTTATTTAAATGACAAATACTTCTGCTTAGTGGGTGACCTTTGCAGAGTAGCTTATGGGTTTGATACCCAAACTGAAAGAAAAAAATTTAACTTCTTTTTTCACTCCGATATTTTCGAATTTTATTCAGAAAGTTCGATGCAAATTTTTGGCTGCTTAAAGAAATCCATCGGTTTTTAAAGGGTGAGGTAAAATTTGAAATAGTTTACGGTTCACAAAAGCCACATAATAAATTCTAAAGAATCCCAAAAATCATATGATGTTCGGTGACTTACTACTCTAAGGCCTGGACAGGCATAGAGTAAGTGTTTCACCGATTCTGCCATTTTAGAATTTATTTATTTAAGTTTTCTTAATTCAAGGGATTGTTACTGAATGCTTTATTTTTTATTAGTAAAGATCCGATAATCTTTGGCTAAAATTAATGCTGTTGTTGTTGCGGCAGAAAACATTCCAGAGGTAATTTCAAGGAAATATGCTTTTTCTCCCTAATTCATGCATCTCCGATTCCCATCTATGCTACTGTGTCCGTCTTTAGCTCCATAAAAAACTGTTATACTTTTTCTAGATCGCTAGATTCGCCGCGATCGATCACATTGGTTTGTGAGCTCTCTAGCTCTCTCTCCTTCGTTTTCATTTTAAACAGTCTTTTATGTACTTTGACATCTAATTTATTATTGGGAAGAATATATTTTTATTTCCTAAAAATTTCTTACCAGGAACTGATTCGGATGTCATTTTCTCTACTTCTCATATAGAATTTCTTAGTTTTGTCAATCTTGGAAGAGTGCGCAATGCCACCCAATCTCACTTGCAGCAGAAAGGGAACGCAACCGAGGACTTCAGGCAAGCAAAAACGGCTGGAGACGAGTTATCAATATATTTTTTCTAATTGATTGTGTTCTAAAACATGATGCCTTTCTGTTCCAATGCTCATAAAGAAATTTCGGGATGAAGTTTCAACTAAAATATGTATATATATACTATGTATATATGTACCTAGGCACATAGGTACTTGTATATACAATTTCGTTATCACTATGGTGAAAGTTTGTTATGGATGAAGAAAACAAGTAAGAGGTCACAACAATGGCAACTATAACAACGGCACTAAACATTGCAATTATTAGTCTGCAAAAGAAGTGAGTATGTACATATGTATATATGTATGTATGTAATTGCATTTCCATGCTCATTTAATATTGTATCAAACGAATGTAACAAGTAAAGAAACCCACATTTACACATTCATTCACTTACAGTAAGCACCGTTACCGCTTCCGTGATGGAAGATATCACTTAGAGACCACACGGTGATGACAACGACAACACTGAGTAACGAGATGTACTGACTGGTAACAGGCGTACAGCCTTAAATTGTAGGTTGATTCTTCATGAACTGCTTGACTTAGCTGAAATTCGCGTTGGCACTAACAAATACATACAGACATACAAACATACGTACCACCCCATAACGCGCCACACGCCCTCCGCCTCCTTTTATTACACTAGCAAAGCAAGCGCACGGAGATCCCCCATATAAAATGCATAAATACTGACACACAGACAAATACATATACATCTACTGTTTATGTGTATGTTTCTACAGACGAGTCTCCATCTACGACTCTCAGTCATAAAAAACCAGAGAGTCTTACAAACAAGCAGACTTGAATTTTCAAAGCGGTGCAAAAATATTTATACATGTACATACATATATATATGCAGACATACATATGTACATAGACAGTGGCTCGAACAGACTTGTATATCAAATGACAAAAATAAATGCTGATTTTAAATTGAAAACCAACGGGAATAATTCTGTTGCCTTGAGACTGTCACTGACCCAAATCCAAAACAAGTTTGCGCGCTAATTTTTTTATCAATATGGCAATGCAATTTTGCATAGGCGTATATACTAATATGTATGTATATTTGATTTTGATTTATATTATTATTATTTTGGTGAAAGAAAAAACAATAAGAATATATATTACGTTATCTGCATTTTTTACGTTTGCGTTTCTGTGAGTTATGCAGACACAAAAGTACATACATAAGTAACACACAAGTATATATGTATGTGTGTATTTATAAAGTAAAAAAAAAAAAATTAAAATTAATTCTCGAAATCGCCAATTAAACTTTTCGTGTTTTCAAAATTCGAATTCAATACTATATACTTATCTAAGCTCACGGTTTTTAGCAAGGCTCTTGTTGTTTCAAAATCCGAGGAGGTTAGTGATTCGTTGGTGAAAATGGTGATCACTGATAGCATATACTTTAATTCGCAATACCTGGGAATTAAACCTACTACTCACTGAGAAACTGGTTATGTTGTGAGCTCGCTGGTGTATAGTGGTCACCAGATCGACTTCAAAAATTATAATGATAATATAAATAAAAATAAATGTTGCATTTGTAGGACTGGTTAAATTATGTAAAAGTGTCAAGAGTACAAAGAATCCAAATATAACCGTCAAATAATTTGATCGGTTATTACAAATAATGCTCTAATTTGTATTGTGATCTAATATAAGTATATTTCTACTGATGGAGTGTATAGAACGGCTGAACAGCCTATCTGAGCACAACCGAGTGCACCTTATTTGGGTGCCTGGCCATAGGGGTATAGCTGGGAACGAACTAGCCGACGAGTTAGCTCTCTCTGCAGCCTCTACAAGAATGGTAGGGCCGGAACCATACTTAGCGGTTGGTCCACATACCATCAAAGAGCTCCACCGCAGGGAGGACAGAGCAGACAGGGAGATACATTGGCAACAACTCCAGGGCATGCACCATGCCAGACTGCTAATGGGGGGTTACGACCTCAAGCGGTTCAATGCCATAGTTAATCTCCCAAGGAACAAATTCCGGCTACTGGTAGCGTTCTACACCGGCCACTGCAGGCTCAAGAAGCATCTCTTTAACATGGGCATAGCCTCTTCTGCAAACTGCTGGTTCTGCGACATAGAGCCGGAAACCCCCGAACATCTGCTGATGGACTGCACAGCAGTCTGCAGACGCAGAATCAAGGCCCTGGGATCCATGTTTCCACACAGGGATTGTATCGCCTCACTAGCACCCAGCAGAATTTTGGAATTTATCAATATGCTGGGCCTAGATGACACGATATGAATTAGGGGAGGGCACAATAGACCGTAGGTCGCGGCGAACCTCAAAATTAATCAATCAAGTATGTATGTAAGCATACTTGATTTCCTTAAATTAAAATTTGATTAGGCAAGTTTTTCTAATATCTAATAAATCTATATCAAAAAATTTGAAGAACAATATGTATCAAAAATTTCAAAACTTTTCAAAAATTTTTAGAAATCTACCTTTTTATGTTTTACAATGTAAGTCTAATGTTTTGTTAGTTTTGTATAAAAAACTAATATTTAAAAATTTTTTGTGAATTAAAATTATCAGTTAAGCATAAAGGAATGTATAAACGGTAAATGTTGGATATTAAATTGTATTTATTTATTATTATTATTTTAAATTAGTTCGAAAATTTTCTAAAAGGTTGCATATTTTTGTAGTTGATATTTTTTCTAAAATTAAAACATATTATTATTATTATTTGACAATTGTTCAAAATGAGACGACAAATAATAAAATTCGTTGCTTTTTGTGCTCTGTCAACTCCTTTTTTTTTTGCTCGGGTTTTGTATGCTCGGGTTCTTTAAAAAATTTATATATACATACATAAGTATGTAATTATTTATAAAATTCTGTTTATATAAATAATTTTTTTTGACATTTTTTGCGCTGTACTTTCTATTTTCCACACCACTGTTTGATCTCAGCAATTACTGCCGTTTTGCGTTTTCTTTACTCCCCAACGAAACTCATAATTTACCTCAACCCCACGAACGAATTCATGCTTACAATTTTACATATATACAAACGTACATATAAATATACGCTTTGGATATATGTATGTATGTACATACCAAGCTACTCCGCCCCTCTGTCCCCATCTACTAATTTCATTTTACTAAAGTCGCATTTATTCCATAACCGTTATACGGCTTCTGTGCTATTTGCTTTTTATGTTGCTGTTGGAAGTGTTCATAAAAATTGTCGCTTGATGGCTGACGACTGACGGCTGTTGCTTTCAATCTCAATTTTGGCTACCTTCACACAAATACTAATACACATACATACATAAAATTCACTGCGGTTACTGTTTTTTTTTATATTTAGGCGTATAATTTCATACCCTGCAAGGGAAATTTTTATAGTTGAGTTTTTTTCGAATAACTTACGCTAAAACTGCTAGACCTGCTATTTTTTCTCTCTCAGGGCGAGTTTATATGTAAATACATATGTATTAAATTACATATATGTATCTTCTACTTATATCAGCTCCTTATACATGTTATAGTATAGGTATATGAAATTTTATCGAAGTATCATAAATTTGCGTCTTTATGGGTATTAGAACCGACATTGTCAAGACAACCGTTTGTTATGTCCAATTCTAATAAAATACCTACTATATGCGATTATACTATACATGATTAGATATATGTATGTACGTATATGCATATATGGTATATATGAAATTTGACTATTATTAATTAATATTATACTTATAAGCATTTCTACTTGACTCGAGCTACAGCTAAAAATGCAATTATTATATTACCTCCAACTATGTCTCTTAAGAGTACCTCAACGAAAGACTCGTGGCCTGATTAACCAAAATCGATTTTTTTATGTTATTAATTATGGTTGGATGATTTCAGAACCCTTAAACGACAGACGGAATCGATACTCAATTTGACAAGGCTACGGTATCATCTAAAAATTATAATTTTCTGGAGAATAACCCGACATCTGTCCGTCCGTCTGTCGATAAGTACGCGAACTAGTCCCTTAGTTTTTGAGAAATCGATCTGCAATCTTGCACACTTCATTTTCTCCCTAAGAAGCTGTCGATATGGGATAACTATAACCTATAGCTACCATACAAACTGAACGATCGGAATCAAGTGCTTGTATGAAAAGCTTTTTCAATTGACATGGTGTGTTCGAAAAATTTGGCATGTATTATTGTCCAAGCCAACGGTGCAATCTCCGAAGAAATTGTTCATATCGGGTCACTATAGCATATAGCTGCCATACAAACTTACCGGAGAAAATTAAGTACTTTAAGTAACTGTTTGTATTTGTGAAGGATATTATAGCTTCAGTGCAATTGAAGTAAACGGTTTTTTCTTGTTCTAAAATTTTTTGAGCATAAGTAAAAATATGTACATACTTATGTACATACATATTTTGTACTTGCCTTACGTATGTCGTATACTTCTAGGTAATTGGCTCTATTAAGCAATTTTTAAGAAAAAGTTTCTTTCGATCTCATAAGAATTTATTGTCAGCCTGGAGTAAAATCCAAATCATAGAAAAAAACGCTTGTTGTGTTGTTATTTTAACGAAACTGTTCTAATTGCAATTGTGTGAAAAATGTATTCGAATCAACCCTGCGTATTTACTTACATTTAATTCAGTGCGGCTTCTTTTGACGTCGGCATCGAGTAACAAGTTGTATTGAATGGGTATAGGCCAACAGCAAGCTGGTGTAGGTCGATTTTACAGCAAGTACTCGACTATCTATTGAATTTTGCATTGCAATAGCAATTACACCTCGTCTCGTTGCCGCTGCCTTCGACTGAGTATTCATGTAATTGCAGTGGTGAGGCATGAATGGGTATTAGTAACATATATTGCCAGTGGTTAGGTGGTCGTGCAATGTCATGAGAAATTAGAAATTAGAAAACATAGCATAACATTGCTGCTAAATATAGCACTGGTCCATTAAGGAGATGATGTGGGTTGTTTCTAAAATACGTATTACAAAATGTAAGGTTATGCAATTATTTTTTAGCGTGTTATCTTAGTAGGATGTATAATATGGCTTACAATGTCTGAAAGCCTAAATTTGTCGAAAATTTCCAAGAACAGAAATTTTCACTTACGCAATCACTTATGCCTCAGATGGCACAATCTAGTCCCTGAATAACTCTTAAAGTAATATTTGCCTGTAATGCGGAACACTCTGTGGTGAGATCTCTCCAATTTACGGTGTGGTAACTCTGCACCTGCTAATGCACAATAAAAACATAATGTTAAGCGAACTGTTGTATTTGCGGTGCACACAGCAGTCTTACGAAAAAAATGCGATATTTGCACTACTGACGACTTTGCCGGCAACCACAGACCAATAATGCAATTGTATTGAGTTTTTTTCAGCTCTCGTTGATATTTCGCCCGAATTGTAGATTTTCAATTGCTTTTCCCACCGATTCATTCAGTCATATCACCGATCTTACAGCCGTGTAAACCGTTTGCGGTTTATCGCGCTCTGATGCGGCACAGAGTAAAGCGATGTACCGAGAGGGAACAGGCTGACAGACTTTTGACGAAAGTTGATTTTTCATGAATGATTTTTGCTCAAAAGTCGCGTTTCAATTGCACGCCACCATTTCCTCGCACTGCCCACACTGCAACGCCTGAGTGGAGGAACTTATGTGTGTGTTTATGTGTTTGCAGAGCTGTCAATGCGAAAGTTCGTTGACATTTTTCACTGATAAATCAATCCAAACAGCGCACAGAAGTCTATTTTCGTGCGCATAAATAAAGAATGTTAATGGATCATTGAGGTTTATGCCATCAATATTGTAAGCAATTTGTTGAGTGTTCAACCACTGTGCAAAATGTGAAATGACCGCGCGTTTGCATGACTGACAGCACAACTGTGACCCACTAAATAGCGTCTCGCGTACGTCCCCATCACCTCCGTTCGCTAGCAGCTCATTTACATACACTTTACCCCTGCTCCTGCAACGACGCCGTCAGCGGCCTACTGCGACTGTGTTCACCATATACCAACAAAATATTTGTTTTTTACTTACATATATAGTATTTATAGTTGTTTTTTTGTATGGGGCTCTCTAAAAATTGTCTTTGCCATTTTTTGCCAGTGCTGATTTGTTGTTTCTTCATTTGTATTTGTCATATCCTCTAATGAGAATTATTCTTAAATACATGTTGAGGAAGATCATGAAATCGTAAGCGGAATAAGCTTTTTCAGAAAATTACTTGTATTACTTTGGACGAATTGTGGTTAGTTTTGGTTAGTCGAGATATTTTAATAGGCTTTAATAACACAGGATATGTTTCAACTTAGAGCAAAGTCCTATTCGACCGATTATTTGGCTAAGAATATTAAGTTGATAATAAACAAGCTGATAATTGATTAAAAAACAAGAAAGAACGTAAACTTCGGTTGCACCGAAGCAGTTTGTATAACAGATATGTAGATATGATGCTATAGTGATCCGATCTGAACAACTTCTTCAAAGATTACCCTATTTCCTTAGACAACAATCCATGCCAAATTTAATTTAGATATCTCGTCAATTTAAAACGCTGTCCACAAAAGAACTTGATTCCTATCGTTCAGTTTGTATGACAGCTACTTATATGCTATAGTGATGGTCTCCGACGTTTCCTTCTAGTTTCGTGGCAAACTTAATATACCCTATTCAGGTAATAAATATATTATTATTTGTATATATTACGAGGTGCTATATGCTGTAAGCTTGTTTGGATTTTAGCCCCAATTCTCCCAGTTTTAGAAATATAGGACTGAACTTAGAAAAGTATTTGTGAGAATCTTTTGAATTTGAACTCTTTTCATTTATCATGTATTAGTAGCTCACAGAAAACCTAAAATTTTTGTGTTTTATAAAACAAGTCGCTGTCTACTACTGAAAACAAAAATTTCATACAACTGGATCTATTTTCTGGTCTTCATTAATTTGTTTATTTATGGTATATTGTAATTGGTTCGACCAGATACTTGCAATGACTGAATAATTGCTTCTGTGACATTGGTCGGCCTGTAAAAATGTTATGTGCTCCAAACCTATAATCGGTAGTCAAAAGCTCTGGGTTACAAAAGTGCTGGAGCGTAACAATTTTTTATGATTGTTAAACAGTTGGCTGATCAAATCTAAACGTACATACCATGTGCACTCTATGCGTATTAAATGTGACACAAAGCAAATGAATACATGAATACAAAAACACAATACACTTTTGTATTCAACTGGCATTATTCATCGCTTTGTTGTTACTACTAATTTTAACAATAATGATGGCGTGCACAAATAGTCACAGCGAGTAATGAGCTGTACTGAGTGTTAATAGGCTTGCAGACTTGCGAATAGAGTGCTTTTACTATAGATTTCAAAAGCTAGCACAAATTACAATTGCCCACCGCTCTGGCGTCGCTATACGTCTCCATATACTCGTAAAAATTTATACCTTAATATATTTGTATTAGGAAAATGCTGTTGGGTTGTAAATGTACATATTTATTTACCAACATTCACATATATGTATATATGAATATATAAATGCAATTGTGCATGAGCTCGTGTTAGACCAGATAGCTTAGTGTTATGGTATTCTTCAGTCAAGTGTTCGATTTTTTTCAATGCCAATATATTCGTATTGGCGTACGTATATAAGCTTAGAATTGTTTTCAGTTTATCACGTAGCAATAAAAGGAAATAAGCATATAATGCATTGGTTGAAGGTCTAATAGCTGATTTTTAACCCACTAGGATTTCCAGAATAGCAGTTAGTTAAACGAATCGAGCATTACCGACCTATATACGATTACTTGTATCCACACATAGATATGTATGAATAATCTCCAGTGCTTAAGACATAAAGACACATGTTGCGTTTCGCGGTACAGATATTTGAGCTTCGTAACACTAAAATATAGTGGATAAGGTTGCTGAGCTTGTTATATCCCGAATAGGGTAAATATTAGGTTTGCCTCAATTTTTGTAACACCTAGTCGATCTAACCATGTCAGTCTGTATGTACATATATACGCGAACTACTTATATATATGACAGTATCGATATGAAATTTTTGCACACGTTATTTTCTCCCCGAGGAGCTGCTCATTTGTCGGAACCGCCGATATCGGACTACTATATACTATGTCTTCGAAGAAATTGGTCAGATCGGATAACTATAGCATACAACTGCCATACAGACTGAACCATCGGAATCAAGCTCTTGTAAGGAATATTTTGCAATTGTTGGGTTTAAGGGTATTTATTGCAGCTTCGGTGCAATCTAAGTTAACATTTTTCTTGTTGTTTAGTTAATTTTGATTGTTCAAAATTTCTTAAAACAGATTTTGGGAAGCCTACTTTATTGATTTGCGTAATACACATATATATATTTATATTATAATAAGATATATAATATAAAATAAGTATGTTTAAGAATTTCTAGAAAAAACTACAAATAGTTGGAATCGCATTGTTTTTGGAGTAGTCACCTTCAACTGTTGCAGGCAGTATACACTTCCACCAATGTAATAAATATAAAATGCAAACAGCTGCACAATACACATTTTGTTGCTTATAATGTACAACAACAAAACAACAACAGGTGCACATACAACTATGTATACTACAAAGCAGAATGCAAAAAAGTGCAACAACGCGTTTTATATGCCGTATCAAATTAGATTTGCACACAATGCCTAATGCCGCTGGCTCTGTAGTCTACCACAAGAGCGAGAGCAGAAACAATTTTCTTAACGTCGAACGGCCGGCATAAACCAGTTTTCCCGATTCGCAAGGTTCACTGAACGTTGTTGGTTGAGCGGTTGCATGGATGATGATAATGATGTTTGTTGTGTTACACAACTGAAAGTGTTGGTCCGAGTATCGTCGACATCGAGTAACAACATGTACGGAGTGGTAATAGGCGCACAGCGATTGCAGTAGGCCGATTTTACACCGTTCACTTGATTTGCTTTATTCTGTTATTTTTGCAATGCACTTGAGCGACGTCTGCCTCCGCCCAATGCGGCCAACATATTTGTATGCATGTCTGTATATGTATGTATGCCAGCGTATGTTGAGCATTGCAGTCCAAGCACAAATGCAGCTCGGCAGACAAGTGAAGCTATTACATATATATGCCATGTTGGTTCTAATATACATATATGTACAGAAGTATAAACATATATTTCAAAATAGTTTTCGCTATATATTTGTACGTTGGTATATAAAAATACGCCCATGGGTGAAATTGAGTTTTCGCGCACGGTGTGACTTTCACAAAGCTAATTTCAAAAAATAATTTTTTGACAAAATTATATGCAAAAGTATGCCAATATTTGGCTGCTCATATACTAAAAACGTGTTAGTTTAGAAACCTAAATGGCAAAGTTTTTTAAATACCAATATACCACAAAATACGTTTAAATACTGTGACTCATACTTTTCATTCATTTCATGGATTTATTTAACAAACTGCAAATGTGGTATATTGTAGTACTGACGTCATGAGTGTAAGTAAATTTCATACTTTTGGTAAATTTAAATCTTTTTCACTGTATAAATACTTTTCTTAAATAAATCTTAAACTTTTACCTAAAATTTTTACTCAACTTGAACACTGTGCGCCGCGAACAAGTGCATTGCCCATAATCCTCTGCCGTCGCGTATGCCGTTAGTAGCAGGCTGTTAACAAATTTCACTTTACATCTGCCTATCTGGTGTTATTGTTGTTGCTGCTCTTCTCACACATAGCCTGCAACCCCCAGGCCGTCTGTTCAAAAGTATAGGAATGGTGGGCAGTGGCTGTGCGGCTTTGTGGGCTCGTCGGTCGACATTGGCGGCAATGCATTGCCAGTCGCATTTTTACAGTCGAAGCGAAAAGAAGTTCAGCGCGGGCTGTTGGGAGAGAACATAAATATTTAACATGTCTTTCGAAACGTTTGGTTTTAACTGGGCCTTCTTTGTAGAAGATTGCGGAGCCATGTTAAAAAACTTAACCTACAATGACAAAATTGTGCAAAAATATAATCGCTTTTGGTGAGATGGTCAGCGCAATTGGTTTTTGGAAGAAGTCAATGATGGTTCCAGCTTAGCCGGCGGCATTTTCAGGCTTTCATGCAATGCGAACCGACGTTGCTGTTGTCAAAGGTGAGACGCAAAAAACGAAAGCTTTAGTCAATATAGCGTATATTTTATATGTTTTAAAATTTTTTTTTTTTTTCACAGCACCAGAACAATGCAGAGGAAAATGAAACAATGAAGTATGCATTTGGTTTAGAACAGTGTGGACTTAAAGCTATTACAAATGGAATATTATCCTATTACTTGTATATGAATATGTGCTTTTAGTTATTTTGTTGTTTATTTGTGCAATACTACAGGCCGGAAAGAAAATTGTACTAAAAATATATAAAGATAATAATACTACATATATGTAACAATTTTAGTGGGTTAAGTAAGCGCAAAAGTGCAAAGCTGTAAGTTTTAAGCAACTAGCGCAGACTGCGTCTTGGAATCAAATATATTTACATTATTTTCGTTCAAAAATAAATTATATTGATAAAAAAGAAAATACAACACAAGAAGCCTATTTTTTCAAAAATAATTTATTACTTTGTTCTCACTTAGGAATCTTTCTTCGAATAAAATTTAACAAAAATTTTAAATCATCATGCGGTAAATTAACTTGCCCGTAAATTGGTTCTGTCTTAACGTCTAGAGGGTCTTCAATTTGTGAAGTGGAATTTTTTTTGCTGATCGAAGTCTTGGGTGATTAGAGAAACACACGGACTCTTAAGGTAGAACGAAACAAAAAAAAAAAACTCCGTCTGCTGATTAACCCCAACTTCTATTACTATTAATATTGGTATAAAAATTTCCGGGTGTAAGATGTGAAAATATAAAACATATGTTCAATAATCAGCTTGAGCGACCTAAATAAATTCAACTCCAGTAATTGACACCCAAATACGACAGTACTTGCCGAAAATACGGTTACTTAAAGTGACACTGAGTTCTACAATCAACACCATTAAAATAGTAAAGTATGGTCGACAACCTAAGTAAATTTGTGTTATTCTTTTCCTTAGTGATACTCAATGATACTCAATATCACTTGATGGTGAGCTTTTTTCAGATCTCCGCAATACTTATACGAATTTTGAGAGTATTTGGAGCTCTTTTTTCTGCAACAAGTTTTTTCTAGTAGTGTTGCTCGACAGGCAATCAAGTCTAGTTTGGAGTATGCTTTAACTTGTAGGTCTTTCTAGTTTACGAAAAACATAAATGCTGACACCACAAAATGTTATCTTTCCATTCGTATAGCAGAGATATGTATACTCGTAACTATATAAAGATATAGTATAGATAGTTATGTACCAAAATTATTTAGAGAACCGACTTTTGGTGACAAAATATTATCTAGAATGGACTTGGCTGATTAAAAAATATTTTTATACTATCTTTCGATAATTGAAGAGACAAGTATTGAATCTGAAAATATGAGCTGTACAACATTATGATAAGAGAGAACGTTTCCTCTTGATATTATTTGAAATGCTAGCTCCATCTGATGCTACTGCCATGGAGTAAAGATAGCTTAGTGGAGCTTTTGAGTACTGATACGATATTCTTATAAATAACATATACAGTTTTCCCCCAGCTAAAGGCATTTAAAAAGTATTTTAATGAGAAAAATAGTTTCAAATAAATTATTTTATATTTTTAAAAACTCCATTCCGGCTACAAATACCTACATAGTTAGGATGGCTTGAGATCATGTATTTCTTTTCTCATTCATTTTTCTTCAGCCTTTTTTGGTACAACCGAAACTTTGTGCTGACTGTGTTATTTTTAACCATTCTGCGCAGAAGAAGACTAAAAACAACGTACAGTGAAGTAAAAGCAATTCCATACCAACAATATCTAATAACAACAACAGCAGATTTCAATTACAATATTATCAGCACAACTGTCTGCCAACATCACTGTCGGTGACATCATGTAATGAGATGTACGAAGAGTCAACAGGCTAACAGCACTGGGAGTAGGTTGAATGTTCATAAAATGTACGGCTGAAATTTGTTAAAATTCGCGTTAGAATCGTACACCTCTGCGTGTCGCGACAGCTACTCTCAATATCCTCTATATACATATGTATGTACTCGACTATGTACCGCATACTAGGCACAACACCATAGCGACCCTCACGAGTAATTGTAATAAAAGCACGAAAGAAAAAAAATTTCACCTACGGGCGAATAAAACCAGCAACAGTAGCTTTAAAAGCAGCAACTTGAGTTCAAAATGCACAGTGCACAGTGGGGTAATATATTGTATAAATACCATATATATAAGTGTCTGTATATAAAGGTGTCTGTATGTTTGCATAAATGAGGTGGTGCTTAATATGCAAATGCTCTGCAATAAGGTGGTGGGATGATTTGTTAATGAGTCTGCGTTTGGCATTTTATTTGAAAACAAAAAAAAGTTTTTGTATTGTAACAGCGGCGGTTCAGAAGTATGTAATTCTTGCGAGAGCCGTGTATATAAATAAAGTGCTGCGAAATTTCGCTGTTTGCGAGCTGCCATTCCTTATATTTTCTTTACACGTATACATACTTATGTATCTCTACGTTCTTATGTATCTTTTTTATATACAAATGTATACATTTCATTAAGCGATTGCTTCGTTTTTGTGTTCTTAAAGACATACTTACATATATAAGCGTTATTTGAAGATTTGTGAAACTTTTCCATTCGTCTTTTTACCCATACCAGATTTTCCTAAGTTACCGTGGTGGAATTATCGAGTTAGCAATCTTCGAAATGAGTACTGTTTTATCAAATTACAATCTATAAAATTAATATAAATGGAATATAAGAATGATAGATATTTTCTGTTTTGATGTATTTACATACATACATATGTAAGTTTAACATCAAAATATGTGAGTTCATGACGTTTAGAAGGAAAGTAACGGAAGGCTTTGTTTGCCATTACTATGAACGTTTGATAGTTAGTTTCATTGAAGACCGGATCGTCTTTAATTCCTCTATAAGAAATGTAAATTGTGTTTGTAATCGACAGAAGAAAACGGAAGGACCCTATAAAGTAGGTATTTGTACAAATGAGCAGCGTGACGAGCTGAGTCGATTTAGCCATATCCGTTTGTATATATACAAACTTGTTCCCCAGTTTTTGAGATATCAATCTGAAATTTAACACATCCATTGCTCACAATGAGCGTACAATTTGTCGGAAACGCTGATATCGAGCAACTATAACATAAAGCTGCCATACCTTTCCTTTTATCGAAAACTTTTTTATTTGAAATGGGATGTTCACGAAATTTGGCAATGATTATTATCCAAAGCATCTCCGAAAATATTATTTAGATCGGACCACTATAGCATAAAGCTCTGATACAAACTGAAATCAAGATAAAGAGCTTTTTATATCCTTTTATGCAAAGATTTGGAATTCTTGGATCATTGTTATTTATTAAAATAGAAATGGATAAATTCGATAAAAACATTCTATGATGTTTTTGTCATACACTTAATTATCGGAAAGGTTTGCTGGGATCTTAAGACGATAAATCAAACATGCCAAATAAGGAACCAAGAAAATTTCGGATAAGAAAATATATTGTGACTAGAAAGTTTCCGGAAATTGTCATTTAAATTGCCAGCGCTGAATATTTTTCAGCAATTTTTTTTGTTAAGTTGGTAGCACTGTCCTTAATTGCTATGCCAAAAATGAGCGCGATCTGTCAACCAGTTTGTTTGTAGCAGCTGTTGAAATCAGTCGACCTCAGTAGTGGTTTGCGAGGGCCTACAAGCCATGTTTCGATGATTGGAAAAAGAGGTGGCATATGTGTGTCGCTTCAGAAGGAGCATATTTTGAAGGCGACAAGATAAATATGAATGAAGATTACAAATTTTTCGTTTTATTTACAATTTCCGGAAACTTTCTGGTCACAAGTATGCTAGCTAGCATAAATAAATTTTATGATTTTATATTAAAAAATGTTGATGTTTTTCTCTAAAATACATACATATGTATATTGATAGATCTTTCCTACTACTTTTTACAAGTAATCTAAGTCATAGAAACATTATTTAGCTTTCGAGATTCATTTCAGCAATGTATTATGTTTTCTCATTCTCACAAAATTTCTTACCTTTTACACCTTTTACTCTCGTAAAGATTCCCAACAAAATTATTCGCATTAACTCATCTCGTGTGAATGCCTCTGTTATCTAATTTGAAAACACTTCACCAACTCATTAACGGTAATCATCGATCAAACATTAAACGTTTCCCACGACGCTCTTTACCGTTTATAGATAATTTTGAATGTGTATACAAATGGAGCGGAATAGAAAGACAATTGGATGCAATTTTTACATTTTATTTGTGTGCGTGCGTGTGTGTGTTTATCGTTTCTAATGCCAGCACTGAGTAAAAAGACGTAATGAGAGTAAACAGGCTAGCAGCCAACGAAGACAAGACGATTTTACATTACAACTGAAAGCATTTGAATTGCTGCTCTTCATCTCACCTTTCATTTCAAGCACACATACACACACATCTTTAAACGAATATCTTCTATGACAATAATGCAATTGTGCGAAGCCGGCGAGAACTGCAAATATGGTAGAACGTGCACACACGCACAAACGCAGAGAAACAAGTATGTCCACAATTGCATAGCGTACCGAAAGCAACAACAATAACAATGCCGATGATATCTGTGCAAATATTGCAATGGTGAGTGGTGTACTTACGAGTTTCTAACACTCCTACTTCGTGACGGTACAAATTGGCTTTGGTAGTGTCGGTACCGAATAATGAGATGTACGGAGAGGGAATAGGGTAACAGCACGTCGAGCAAGCGTATTTTTAAGTAAGTACCCATTATGAATATTTTTTCGCGGTTTTCGACTGCCGTCAGTATACAGGTACAATTGCCCGATTTACACAAGCAACAATAGCATACATACATACCCATATTGTTGTTGCTAGGTTCGTATAGACAGATCTCCTTTTAGGCGTAGACACAAAAGTGAAGTAAACAAAAAAGATTCGGGTCTACGTTAGAAGTATAGACACTCCTAGTTACATACATACAAATAAACATACCTATATAGACATATATATAAAGTAGGAAACATTTGTATATATACATATATATATTCATATAAACATATTTACGCGCCCCACCCGCAACAAGTGTGTTTATCTACACAAACAATTACGTAGATTTGCCTATATGTATGTATATATAGATCTGTATATATATGTATATACATATTCACAAAAATCAACATAGATTTTCTAATGCCTTCCACTTCATCAGCATCTTTTGTAGTTTCAAAAGTTGATTGAAAATATTTCAATGGCTTATTGTTGTTGTTTTTACTTTTCTTCGTCATCTGTTGACAACCATTTTTTCTAAAAAGGCTGCCTGTCGGCTTAAGTGATGCTGTGACTGACAGCTGACAGCCGCTCTTCTTCGCTGATTTTGTATCAAATGCTCTTACGTTATTTGTATACCCCTCTCAGACAAAGA